GGCCGGGGCCAGTTTTCAATCGCCTCTAGCTTATTCGTTTGGGGCTTCACTATGCCCCTCACTACAATATATCCCAGGTACCTAGCCTCTGCTAGCCCTATGGCGCATTTAGCGGGATTAGCAGTGAGGCCAGCCCACCTTAAGGTGCGCAGTACTGCCTCAACTTTCTCCAAGTGGGTTCCCCAGTCTGGCGTATGGATGACGACATCATCTAAGTATGCGGCTGCATAACTAGTATGGGGGCGCAGCAGCTTATCCATGAGGCGCTGGAATGTGGCCGGGGCCCCATGTAGCCCAAAAGGGAGGACAGTGTACTGGAATAGTCCGTCCGGGGTGGAGAACGCTGTCTTTTCTTTAGCTTCTTTGGTCAGGGGAATCTGCCAATACCCTTTTGTCAGATCCAGTGTAGTCAAGAATCGGGCACTACCCAGTCGGTCAACCAGTTCGTCGATGTGTGGTATGGGATATGCATCGAATTGGGATACTTCATTCAGTCGGCAAAAGTCATTACAGAATCTCATGGTACCGTCAGGTTTAGGCACTAGAACAATTGGACTGCACCACTGACTGTAAGATTCTTCAATAACCCCTAATTCTAACATTTTCTTTACTTCGGCCTTGATTTCTTCTCTTTTAGCTGCTGGGATTCGGTAGGGTCTCAATGTTACCTTGGCTCCGGGGATCGTGCAGATATGGTGATAGGTCTCAGTCGTCCGCCCCGGTTTTGTAGAGAACACATCTCAGTTGCGATTAATCATGTCGGCTGCCTCGATCTTTTGGATCAGCGTCAAGTCGGGTGATATCCTCACTTGCTCATGTAAGTTATCCTCCTGGGGAAGGGTCTCCTGGGTGACTAAGCATGCCTCTCGATCATGCCAAGGTTTTAGAAGATTGATGTGGTAAATTTGCTCCGGTTTCCTTCGGCCTGGCTGCCGCACCTTATAGTTTACCTCTCCCACGGCTTCGATCACTTCATAGGGTCCCTGCCACTGGGCCAACAGCTTACTTTCTGCTGTGGGCACCAGGACCATCACTCGATCCCCGGTTGGAACCGTCGAAGCTTTGCTTAGTGGTTATAATGGGTTCGTTGGGTTTCCTGTGCTTTCTCCAAGTGTTCACGTACAATGGGTGTAACTCGGGCTATCCGATCCCTCATCTGCAGTTCATGCTCAACTATGTTCCTTCCAGGATTTGGCTCCTCTTCCCAGGCTTCTCTGGCTATATCCAATATGCCCTGGGGGTGGCGCCCGTATAGTAGTTCGAACGGAGAGAAACCTGTGGAGGCTTGTGGGACTTCCCGGATGGCGAACATGAGGTAAGGCAATAGGTTATCCCAATCTTTCCCATCCCGGCTCACCACTTTCCTGATCATGGCCTTGAAGGTCCTATTGAACCTTTCCACAAGGCCGTCTGTTTGAGGGTGGTATACAGAGGTCCGTAGGGCTTGTACATGGAGCAATGAACAGAGATCTTTCATCAACTTGGACATGAAAGATGTCCCTTGATCAGTCAGTATCTCCTTGGGTAGCCTAACCCGGGAAAAGATCTGTACTAGCTCCTTAGCTATTGTCTTGGAAGCCGTGTTGCATAGGGGGACGGCTTCCGGGTATCGGGTTGCATAGTCTAGTACAACAAGCACATGTTGGTGGCCCCTAGCTGTCTTCTCTAGGAGCCCAATCAGATCCATGGCTATGCATTCAAATGGTACCTCTATTATTGGAAGAGGTATCAAAGGGGCCCGCAAGTGCGGGCGAGGGCTATGTAGCTGAGACTCTGGACAAGAGGTGCAGTATCGCCGGACATCTTCATGTACTCCTGGCCAAAAGAACCTCCGCAGGATCCGTGCCTGGGTTTTCTCTACCCCTAGGTGTCCTCCAAACAGGTGACTGTGGGCGAGGCTCAATATGGCTTTTTGATGTTTTCGTGGCACCAGAAGTTGATGCATCTCCTGCTCCTGCATTTGCACCACGCGGTACAGGAGATCTTTCTTCACTATAAAGTAAGGTCCTGGACCCCGGACCTTCCCCTCCACTGGTATCCCATCTATCTCAGCCACCTCTTTCCTGACGTTATCATATCTAGGGTCCTCTGCCTGGTCCCGCCCGAAAGTCTCTCTCCCGGGACTAACCTGTCTGAGCTCCCAGGGGCCAGCTTCTGCTTCTTCCAACGGCTCACCGCTGTCATGGCTGGGGCCAGCCTCTGGCTCACCTTCCATGGTGGTAGTTTCTCTGATGGCTGCTTGTGTCCCTCTGCCTACTAGGGCGGTCTTCTGGCCCTGGGTCAGGATCCAGGTTCCCAAGGCCTTCGCAGCCTTCCTCTCTTTTTTTGTCTTCCAGGCCTTTTGGGGGTCTGAGAATAGATCCTGAGAAATCTCAGCGAACATTGGGGGTTGACATTCCCCCAATGATGAGTCGCTGCCATCAGGGTCCCCACTTCCCTCCAGTCTCTCTGGGGGGAGTAATTTATCAAACCCTGGATAGTCCCTCCCAATGACTACAGGATATGGGAGTTTAGGAACCACGCCCACTGTCACCTCAATGGTGTTCACCTGAACCTCTATCTCCACTGGGATGGTGGGGTAATGGCTCACGGCCCCATGCACACACATCACTGCTACACATTTGGCTTGTAGCAGCTGGCTACTTTTTACCAGCTTACCCGATATAAGGGTGATGGCACTCCCCGAGTCCACAAGCGCTGTAGTCTCTGCTCCATTTATCTTCACCGGCCTGGTGTAGTTATGCGGGGCTAATGTGATGCCTGCAAGGTGGATAAGGGAGCACGGGATCTCCCAATCCCCCAAGTTGCATTGCATAGGCTCCTCAGTGCTGGGACACTGTGCTGCTATGTGTCCCCACTCCCCACATGCATAACATCTATAATTGTTTCTAATCACTCCCCTATCACAGAGGTTAGGGGGTTTAGTCCCAGGGTTCCCCCCACTCAGGCCAATCCCTTCCTTCTGAGGTTCCCGCTGGTTTTCAGCCCCCCCCTTCCTCCACCTAGGACTCCCCAGGGGTTTGGCTGCCCCACCTTCCAGGGTTGGGGTCGGGTGCTTGCTTCGAAAGGGGCTTTCCTTGGGTAGTCAAGTGAATTCCCTGGCTATCATGCATCTTTCTACCAGCGTGATCATCTCATCATAGGTGGATGGATCGTTCTGGCCTACCCATTTGCGGAGATCTGGTGGCAGTCCTCGCATGTAATGGTCCATGACCAGGGTTTCCAAAATCTCCTCCGGGCTGCACACCTCGGGCTGTAACCACTTCCATGCGAGGTGTATGAGGTCGAATAGCTGGGACCTCGGGGGTTTGTTCTCCTGGTACTTCCACTCCATGAACCTCTGGGCCCGTACCGCTGCCGTCACCCCTGATCGTGCTAGGATCTCTGCCTTCAGTCGGGTATAGTCAGTGGCGTCCGTGGCAGGCAAGTCAAAGTAGGCCTTCTGGGCCTCTCTGCACAAAAAAGGGGTGAGAATGCTGGCCCACTGCTCCTGGGGCCATGTCTCACTCTGAGCAGTCCTTTCGAATGAGAGGAGATATGCCTCTATGTCATCTTCTGACGTCATCTTTGGCAGACAACCAGTGGCCCTCAGGGTTCCCGTCCCATCTGACCCCCGGGCGGTGAGGATCTTTAGCTGGTCCACTACCTCTTGCAAGAGGGCACGATCTTGGGTTGCCTGTCCCATTAATAATTGATTGGTTTCTTGCTGTAGCCGCATAGACTCCTGTTGCGCCTTTGCTGAACCCGGGTGACCACCTGCTGGGTTGCAGTGGCTTGTACCAGAGCTCTTACGACCTCCTCCATTGTGATACAAAGCAAACCAAAAAAAAAAAACCCAAACCCAAAAACAAATCCAAAACCCCAGTGCACTTTTTTTTTAACCTCTTTCTTCCATCACGCTGTGAATGATGATCCCACCTTTAACACCAGTTGTGACAAAGTTCTGTCCTTGACTCCGTGGGTCCTGCGTTTCCTGATGGATTTTTGCTAGCCTCAGAGGCTCACTGTGACTCCCCACATAGCCCTTCTCTCTCTAGAGGCAAGGGTCACAGTCTACTGAGCCATTTTCATCATAAGCCAGCAAGGGAGGTGAAGAGAAACAACCCTCCCTCACACAGTCTCTGTTGTATCCCAGTATCAGTGATTAATCAGGGAGGGGAGGGGGGAGCCCGGGCCCGCCCTCTACTCCAGGCTCCAGCCCAGGGACCCTAAACTTAGCAGCTATGAAAGCTGACTTTTTGGAAATAGGGCATGTACAATTCCCTGGGCTACTTCCCCACAGCAGCCCCCACTCAATATCTTCTTCACAATTACCTCAGGCCCTCCTTCCTTGCACCTGATATGGATTCGTACTACTTCGTTCCTCCAACAGCACAGCTCCCTCCTATAGCTCCTGACACCCGCCCCGCACTGAGTAATTGAGAGGCTTTTAACTAGTTCCAGCCAGTCCTTAATTGGCTTCAGGTGTCCCAATCAATCTAGCTGTCTCTCCTGCTTTCTAGAAGGATCTTAATTGGCCCCAGCTGTCTTGATTAACCTGGAGCAACTGCCATTTGGTTACCATGGTACCAGGGATTTGTTTAGCCTGGGGCTAACATACCTGTTCCTCACTACTTTACTGTAGCCATCTGGCCTTGCCCCATCACATATCCCCCCCCTCTGCTCAACACCATAGAGTTGGGCAACTTGGGACGCCAGGCAGTGTGCTCGTGACAGACAATCAGCGTTGCCATGGTGGCATCCAGCCCTGTGCCGTATGCGGAACTGGAACGGTTGGAGGGATAAGAACCACCTGGTGACCCTTGTGTTCTTTTTCTTATTCTGCTGCATCCACTGGAGGGGTGCATGGTCCATCACAAGAGTAAATCGCCGGCCTAAGAGGTAATAGCGCAGTGTCTCCATGGCCCATTTGACAGCAAGGCATTCTCTCTCAACTACTGCGTATTTCTGTTCTCTTGGGAGAAGCTTTCTGCTTAGGTAGAGGATCGGGTGTTCCTCTTCCCATTTGCGACAGAACTGCCCCCAACCCCACCTCGGAAGCATCTGTTTATAAGATAAATTCCTTGTTAAAGTCTGGGGCTATGAGTACAGGGTCATTACAGAGGGCCGTCCGAAGGTCTATGAATGCCCCCTCGGCTGCATCGGTCCACTTCACCATGTCTGGACCTCGGGCCTTCACCAGGTCTGTTAGGGGACTTGCCCTAGTGGCAAAATGGGGAATAAAACGTTGGTAGTAGCCTACCACGCCTAGGAACGCACGGACCTGCTTCTTTCGGGTCGGCCGGGGCCAGTTTTCAATCGCCTCTAGCTTATTCGTTTGGGGCTTCACTATGCCCCTCACTACAATATATCCCAGGTACCTAGCCTCTGCTAGCCCTATGGCGCATTTAGCGGGATTAGCAGTGAGGCCAGCCCACCTTAAGGTGCGCAGTACTGCCTCAACTTTCTCCAAGTGGGTTCCCCAGTCTGGCGTATGGATGACGACATCATCTAAGTATGCGGCTGCATAACTAGTATGGGGGCGCAGCAGCTTATCCATGAGGCGCTGGAATGTGGCCGGGGCCCCATGTAGCCCAAAAGGGAGGACAGTGTACTGGAATAGTCCGTCCGGGGTGGAGAACGCTGTCTTTTCTTTAGCTTCTTTGGTCAGGGGAATCTGCCAATACCCTTTTGTCAGATCCAGTGTAGTCAAGAATCGGGCACTACCCAGTCGGTCAACCAGTTCGTCGATGTGTGGTATGGGATATGCATCGAATTGGGATACTTCATTCAGTCGGCAAAAGTCATTACAGAATCTCATGGTACCGTCAGGTTTAGGCACTAGAACAATTGGACTGCACCACTGACTGTAAGATTCTTCAATAACCCCTAATTCTAACATTTTCTTTACTTCGGCCTTGATTTCTTCTCTTTTAGCTGCTGGGATTCGGTAGGGTCTCAATGTTACCTTGGCTCCGGGGATCGTGCAGATATGGTGATAGGTCTCAGTCGTCCGCCCCGGTTTTGTAGAGAACACATCTCAGTTGCGATTAATCATGTCGGCTGCCTCGATCTTTTGGATCAGCGTCAAGTCGGGTGATATCCTCACTTGCTCATGTAAGTTATCCTCCTGGGGAAGGGTCTCCTGGGTGACTAAGCATGCCTCTCGATCATGCCAAGGTTTTAGAAGATTGATGTGGTAAATTTGCTCCGGTTTCCTTCGGCCTGGCTGCCGCACCTTATAGTTTACCTCTCCCACGGCTTCGATCACTTCATAGGGTCCCTGCCACTGGGCCAACAGCTTACTTTCTGCTGTGGGCACCAGGACCATCACTCGATCCCC